TATTTTTGTGTCACAGTCATATTTGATGTAGAAGAATTGGACTTAGATAAATAAAATGTATGATAGAATGGAATCTGAGTACAACAGGATATTTACACTGAATAGTCGTGGGAACTCACTAACATAGGAATATACTACAAAAACATTATTTTCAAGTACTCTTGAAGGTTTTACTCTGACCTAGTGGTAATTACCTACAAGTTCTTTGTAGGTGGCAGATAAACCAGCTCTCTCAAGGCCTCCTTAATTGGTAAAACTCAGGGTTAGTTTGTACTATGATTCTTCCCCAAACTAATCCAAGATGTTCTGATATTCATTCTAAATTTAGTCAGCTGCATTCTTGACAAGGGCCTTTAATTCTATGAACTTTGAAAACTCCTATATGAAAGATCCTAGACTTTCTCTTACTTTTTGTGAATGGAACCATATTTTGATATTTTAAATAAATATGGACTTTCATTAATGTTATATCTTTGCATTTACACCAGATTGTTATTCATTCCATGATTTATTTGATACAGAATACTTGAACAGGTGCACCGCCACCAATTATAACACTGTTTCTATGGGGAAATCTGATCCACTTTATGACAACATGATTTATGATATAGTTACCAGAACACACTGCATCAAAAGGCAGTGTCTGCTTATGCCAATGTTTACTAGTAAATATATTTTACTCAGATACAAAAACATACATTTCTTTTCTATGTCTCTCCTTAGAATTCCTCAGGTCTTCACATTCTTCCTCAGAGAACAGATTGCGTTTAGATCTGCTATTTTATTTATAAACAACAATCCCTAACTTCTTGCCGTACTGCTGTTTTCTAATTCTGTACTTTCACCTTCCCTACTGTTTACCCATAAAAGAAGCAATACCAGAGCTGGAAGGGGACTCATTCTGCGCCTACCCACTTTCGTCGTGTTAACATGAACCCTTAAAAGGGTTAAGAAAAGTTCATTACAGACTTACCTGAATGAGTCCCTGGGAAAAGCTAGCTTGCTCTTATGGATGTAGCAAACTGTCTGTCCTGCTATGTCCATTTGACTGAAACTGGTAATGGGGTGTCCAGGATAGTGGGCATATTCAACCTGCCCATATCTTGGGGAGGAGGTGATAACATAGAGCAGTTCTTCAGGCTTATCTGTTCCGTCCACAGCTAGGAGATTGGAGGTTGTCAGGAAACCTCTGTCACCTTTCGGCACCACGAGTGGTTTTACAGAAATAGCAATGTCACCTGCAGAACAGAAGAGACGGTTTAGGAATAAAAAAGTTTTGAATGTCCAATATGAAGGGGAAAGGCGAAGCAAACTGAGTGGAAATAGAAACTAATAGGACATAGAAAGCTTTAGAGAATCAATTCACATAAGAAATAGGCAAAAGACATGAGTAAATAATACACAGGTGACCTCTGTGATTAAAGAAGATGCAAGAGGAAGGTTAATGATTATGGAAACGTACATCAAGATCACAAAGTCTCAATCTCATAGGTAGATGTTTGATAGGCAAAAATGTTTCCGGGGCCCAGGGATGTTGAGATAGCAAGAGCCTTGTAAGCCTTGTAAGCCTGAGATTGCAAGTTTAATTTCTGGTGCCTCCCACATGAGGCAAGTATGGCCTTGGAGCTCTGCTGTTTAAGAACCTCGGGGCCAAAATAGAGCATGTGATTTCTGACACACTGTGGCCTGCTGTAGAAGAGCATGGTTCCAAGTGTGTGATGGCTAACACATATGTGTTCAACTAGATCACATGACCCCAGAAATCATGAATGGAAGTCCTACAACTGAGTTCAACCTCCAGTGGACATCACAACCGAATGTGAGAACACCACAACCGTGTGTGTGTGTGAATGTGTGTGTGTGTAACTCTTGATTGCTGCAACAACAGCAGCAATGAAAGAAAGATAAGGGGATAAAATGTTCATACCAAGTAGTAAAAATAATTTAGGTCGAGAAAATATTGTAAAGGATACAAGATTCTCATGCATCTTGTCCAACTGTGTACTAGAAAAAAAAATCTCATGCCTAAGTTGTCAAGAAATCTGTATCAGAATGGTCGCTGTCACACTTGCTGACAGAAAACACAAGAGACAGCCCAAATGCTTTTTCAGAAAGTGAATGTATAAATAAACCATGGTTCATTCATACAACTGAATTCATGCAGTAGCAAAGTACATGAGCTGCACAACAACACGAATGTAGCTTAAAAACATTTGTTAGCTTTTTAAGCAAGTCCCAGAAAACTGTAAAGAAAATACTTAGCAAAAATTCAGGATGTGGTTTTCTCTGATCATGGAAGGTATATAAGCAGTCAAAATTACAATTATTGAATTATATCATAGTTACACAGGTACTGATTCTGCTTTTGAAAAGGATGTGTGAGGGCCAAAGAAGTGACACAGGGAATAAGGTGCTTGCATTGCATGACCCTGACCCCAGTATAATCCCTGGCATTGCATATAGTCCACCAAGTCTGCTAGGATTGATACCAGAGCACAGAGCTAGGAATATGCCCAGAGAATTACAGTGTGATCTGTGTCACTTCTTTGGCCTCAAAACAAACAAAAGATAAGAGGATGTACATGTGGACATAGGAATGAGCAAAGTAGAAGTGGGTTACATATGGACTAGTGATGTAGTTTTTATAAACCATACCATTTTTACTCATCTGAGCTTTATAACTGAAATATAGAGCTCCTTTGCACTTTGCATGAGGCTAATACATCTGCATAACCCGTTAAGGTAGGGTATGGCCATTTTTCAGGTCATAAATGAGCCCATTAAAGTGTAGAAACGCTAACTTGCTAATGATTTTGTAATTAATTTTAAAAAATGGAAATAGAATTAGTAACCAAGCCATTTGACTCAAGAATAGAAACTGAAACACTATTACTTTTTCCTGTGTAAGTATGTGTGTGTATGTGTGTCTGTGTCTGTGTCTGTGTATGTGTGTGTGATTAGTGCCCAGACTGGCAACTGGCAAACCCTAAATAATTAAGGTGTTTTGTTTGGTTTGGTTTATTTTGGTGTTTTTATTTTGGTATTTTATGCTTCAACTCAAAACATCTCTGCAGGGTAGGAGAGATAGTACAGGAGCTGAGACACTTGCCTTACATGCAGCTGACCTGGGTTTTATTTCCAGGACCACAGAGGGTCTTCCAAGCTCTGCCAGAAGGCTTCCTTAGCACAGAGTTAGGAGTAAGCCCTGAGCACCACCAGGTGTGGCCCAAACTCTGGCATACTATCAAAGGCTATGCAAAGTAAATTTTATGTAAATTCAAGGACCATGCTAACTTCCAGTCAAAACTTAAACCTCAGGGGCCTGAAAGATAGTTCAACAGATAGGTTGCTTTGCGTACAGCTGATCTGGGTTCCATCCCTGGAAGCCCATATGGAATGATCCCTGAGTAAAAGGAGAGCAAAGGAGATATCAGTGTGGTTTGCCACACTGTGATGGCAGAGAATGGACTTGAGTCAACAATAGGCAATGTCTTTCTAAACATCTCTCAAACATTCCCATCATACTTTTGCCACTGTGCAAACCTAATGACTTATCAGAATCAGAAAACATAATGTTATTTGCCATAATTCCCAAAAGCAAATAACCCAAATGCTCAATATACTCAATCGAGAACTACAATCAAGTCTAGCCTATCAGTACAATTTTATTTGGAGCTGAGTAATTGTTATAAAGCTATACTGCAACTTAAGAAAATCTATGCTAAGCAGGAAAAAGATACAACATAGATATACTATATAATATAGATATAAAAAGAGAATATAGAGATATATAATATACAAAAAGAGAGAAGAAATTTAGAACTTTTGAAAGGTTCAAGTATGCTCAAATCATCTGCAAAAAATACAGTCAGTTGTCGGGAACACTGATGAGACAAGGTGCTACTAGCCTCAATTTCTCTTCTTCCTGGGTCCACAGCTAAAGTTTCTCTTGCCAAATCTCCCTAAGTGTGGTATCTGACTATTCAGCCACTGGAATGTGGAGGAGATAGACACCCTACTTTCAAGCTTAGCCCAGAATCACCTTTTTTCCACATCTAAAAGTGCTCCAAGAGAGGAGTGATCCTGAGCAGAGTGGCTCCGAGGCCTTTAGAAAGGAGCTGAGACTCTTGCCTTACAGGTCATAAATGAGCCCATTAAAGCTTCTTTGCCCCAGGTGGCTGTGTGGAATAGAGCTGCCTCGATTTCTGAGGAATGCACTGTGCTTAGCAAGTGATAAGGCAGTCTAAACACTTTTCAAAAAGACATCTGTGCCCCTATGTACATTGCAGTATTCTTCACAATAACCAAGAACTGGAAATAATCCAGGTGCCCAAGAACAGATGAGTAGATACAGAAACTGTGGCTTATAGACATGGCTTACTAATCATGTATAAGAAAAAATAAAAGCATGCAATATGTTGCTACATGGATGGAATTAGAGGGTATCTTTGGAGGGAGTCACTCAAAGGACAGGGATAGTTATAGAATGATCTCTTGCATATGTAGGGCTGGAGCGATAGCACAGCGGTAGTGCATTTGCTTTGCATACGGCTGTCCCTGGCTGACCACGGTTCGATTCCTCTGCCCCTCTCAGAAACCCCAGCAAGCTAACAAGGGTGTCACGCCCACATGGCAGAGCCTGGCAAGCTACCCATGATGTATTCAATATGCCAAAAACAGTAACAAGAAGTCTCACAATAGAGATGTTACTGGTGCCCACTCAAGCAAATCGATGAACAATGGGAGGACAGTGCTATGTAGGATATTAAGAAACATAATAAGAGAGCAACAATTGGACAAAGGAAACAGAACTGGAGAGTTTTTCTATATAACTCAGCTTGACTGTGTTGGGGAGTGGGGGGGACAGTTGGAAGGGGTCTTGGGCCATTGGTGAAGGAAAGCGGGAATTTTGGTGGTGTGTGTGGTGTTGGAACAATGTGTGTAGATGAAATGATCATTAAAGTATTTTAAATCATGGTACCTCAATAAAAATGGGAGGGAGCTTCCTGAAGTTTACCACAGGCTGTGTTCTTTACACCGACAGTAGAGAAAAAAAGGCACAGTAAACCTATTCCATATACACCCCAGTCCAGGTCCTTTGCCTGGTCTTTATTGTGAATGGGGTACATGAGATAAATGAAAAGGCAAGTCAATCTATCCCAATACATTAGTTGTCTGCACTAAGATAGTAGCTGCATTACCTGCATACAGTTATAGTAAATGTAGTCTTTTTCAGGCAAAAATCAATGTGTACTGCAATATCTGGCTTAGGAGAGTCACTTATTACATATCTTTATTATGTATAATAACCAAAAATTATGTTTAATAACCAAAAGAACAAGCAAATGAGATATAATATTATAGTACCCAAAATAAATATCTCAAAATCAATTCAGCTGAAAAAAAATTTAAAACTCAGAACAACTAAAATTCTACCACACATGGACGAAGAATCTTAATAGCATTTAAGCAAATCATTTAGTTTTAGGCCTCCTGGCAGTCAGTGCAAACAAACAAAAACTGTCCTCCCACTGTTCATCGATTTGCTTGACCGGGCTCAGTAACGTCTCCATCGTGAGACTTGCTGTTACTGTGTTTGGCATATTGAATACGTCACGGGGAGCTTGTCAGGCTTTGCCGTGCGGACGAGATGCTCTTGGTAGCTTGCGGGGCTCTCCGAGAGGGGCGGAGGAATTGAACCCAGCTCGACCAGGCTGGCTGTGCGCAAGGCAACACCCTACCGCTGTGCTATCACTCCAGCCCCAGTCAGTGCAAAAGAAAAAGAAAAAGAAAGCAAGAAGAAACACTAAGTCATTCAAGCATGTACTAAGAATTAAGACCATGGTCGGCCCTACCAATGTAAAGACTATGTAGATGAAAGGTATGTCCCTAACCCTTCTCACATACACTCTGGCAAAATAAGTATTAGTGACATATGGTCATTAGAGGAACTATATATATATATATATATATATATATATATATATATATTCTTGTCGAGCTTCCTTCTCAGTATTTTTTTACTCTCCTCCTTCCATCATTTATATGTTGCTGAGTCCTATTCAAATGATAATAATCAAGAGAAGTCTATTTTCTTACAGTGTTCTCCCTTATCACTAAAGAGGTTTTATATACATATATAAATTTATTTATATATTGTGTGTATTTATATACTATATAGGTATAAAGCCATTCCCCTACAATTCAATAATATTGTTAACTGATGACAAGTATTAAAAAAGCGCACCTTAACACTTCTGAATGAAAATACACCAAGATTTTCAATGTCAAAGTTTCTTTCTATTTTAAAAACTGGCTCTATGCTCATAGTGTCCCTTGGAAATACTTATATATGGTGAGAACATATGTGGTACCAGAGATTTGAACCTGGGTCAGCAGGATACAAGACAAACTCCATATCTCCTATACTATTTCTCCAACCCTACTTGTACTAGCTTTCCAGCGCTATTGTTTTATTTTTATTTTTATTGAATCACAGTGAGATACAGTTACAAAGCTTTCATATTTGAGTTTCAGTCATACAATGATCGAACACCCATCCCTTCACCAGTGTACATTTTCTATCACCCAGCACTACTTTTTAATTTAAAAAAGTCGTTATTATATTAGACATATTTTCCTTTGTAATTATATATTTTTCTTTTTTAAAAAATTATTTTCTTTCTTTTTTTGAGGGGGGCTATTTGGGTCACATCCAGCAGTGTTCAGGAACTTCAGATTCTGTTCTAACGGTTCTTTCCCGCTGTACTTTCAGACCGCGTGGTGCTTGGAATTACACTTGGTTCTACTGCATGCAAGCATGTGATATAGATGGTTGAATTATCTCTCCAGCCCTACGATTCTACTTTACTGTAATAATTTATTTCTTGAAGATGAAACTATAATTATTACACTGATTGTTAAAACTTCATTAAAAAACTCTTTAGAGAAGTCACCCATGTTATTGTGGGTGGGAATATATATATATATTTCCCAGCAGACTCTCTGAAATAATGGCAAGAAATGGTCTATAATCACAAATCTCAAAGATCCAGGCAAAGAGGATTAGGAGCCAAAGCAATGAATAAAAAACTATGTAATTTCAGATATAAAGGATGGGAAAGGAGGAAGGAAGGAAGGAAGGAAGGAAGGAAGGAAGGAAGGAAGGAAGGAAGGAAGGAAGGGAGGGAGGGAGGGAATGAGAAAAGGAAGGAAGGAGGGAGGGAAGGGAGGAAAGGAAGGAACGAGGGAGGGAAGGAAGGAAGGAGAGATAGAAGAAAGGAGGGAGGAAAGGGAAGGAAGGAGAGATGGAAGAAAGGAGGGATGAAAGAGAAGGAAGGAAGAGGGGAAGGAGGAAAGGGCGCAAGGAAGGAGGGATGGAAGGAAGGATAGGTAAAAATATGACTGCTTATCTCATCTCACTTCTGGTTTTGAAAGCCGATCCCTATAGAACTTGGTATAAATGCTCTTACCTTTGTCAATATCTTTGATAGTGATATGACAGTCGAATGTAGGTGACCTATTGCTGCCATCCCAAAGGTAGAAGGTGAAGTTGTCTTGGTTCTGAGAATCCATGGCCCCCGTGTGCATGTATCTCAGCAAGTTCAGATCCACTTCCTCCTGAGTGCATTTCATGCCAGGGTGGAGAGGGACCCAGTTCCTCCCTATCTGAAAAGTATTAGAATTAGTCAACTACCAAGGTCAGTCCCACAACCCCAGATATGCTCAGGGTCTGTTCCTGGCTCTGTGGTCTGGAGTGGTCCCAATCAAGAGCACAATCAAGCACCCAGGATTGATTGTATGCAAGACAAATACCACAACCCCTGTAGAATCTCTCCAGCCACCTCATTTTGGTTTTAATCTCAAGCTGTGTTTAACGGACACTTTTAATAAGCCATGAAATCTCCAATATAAATGACATTTTGGGGGAATTCCAAAAGCCTTAACTTTTTGACATCTTATATTTTTTCCTTTCAAAACTGTCTTAAAATAATTTAAGTAAATTGGGGGTAAATTAGCTTCAATAAAAAGATTTTTGACAGTCATGTGGCAATTCAACAACAGTGCTACTTCCAAGGTATTTATCAAAAGCAATCATAGCTGATTAAATATTGCAATTAATGAGAGCAGGTGGGTAATCGAGCTGCTGGAATAGGTTCTTTAAAAATTAAGTGTGTTTCATTTGAGGTTTTGTCTTTCTTTAGTTCATATCATTGTACTACTAATAGAACCTATTTTTAAAAACTGGTTTGCTTTGGATTTATCCGAACCAGAAACAACATAAGCAAAATGGATGGATCTATTTCTCCCCACCATACTTTCCATTCTTACTAATGTCCAAAGATAATAATCAAGATTCCTATAAATCCTAACACTTATATACTCGATCAGAAAATATATAACTGTAAGTATCGTACATTTTAAAAGAATCTTAAAAACAAGTCAACCGTAGTTAAATATTAATTCAATACAGAACTCAGTGATATTTTTGAATTGAAAGAGGATGTTTATGTGGGGAGATAAAGAGATAAACTGTAGCAATTTGGGGGCAAAAGAGATTTTTATGGAGCTAGAATAATAGCACAGCAGGTAAGGTACTTGTGTTTCACCCAGGTTTCATCCCTGTATTATCCATCCCCTTAGTCCCCACCCCAGTCCCTCCCAAGAGTGATCCCTGAGCTCAAAGCCAGGACCACGTCCTGAGTACCAGTGGGTGTGGCTCAAAAACTAAACTAAACCAAATAAAATAAGTTCTTATGTTGAAAATGGGGTACAGACAAATGATAATATTAGAAAACAGAAATAAATCTGAATGTGATTAATAGTTCTTTTGTTATTTTCTTACAGTACATAACTGTACTGTAACTAAGTACATAACTAAGAATAGCTCACTTTCATAATTTAAGAAAAATGTCATCATAACTTATTATATGCTATTTTCTTGTGCTTTTCTGGTTTAGTTTAAGAAAATAAACCAGAAACCATTTGCTTTATATTTCCCTTGTTATAATGTTCTATAGAGTCCCAATTCCTGGCAAAATATAATTTGCCCTTTTCTCCCTTTATTGTATTTCCACTTTCCTTTGTCATTCTTCTTGATTAAGTTTCATCTGCTTCGATATTTTTGTCTCTCTGATGTTGTTACACAAACTATATTCTGCTCCAATGCTCACTGGATGAAATCTAATTATATGGTAATAATTGTGGTCATTGTTTGCTTCCATCAGAAGATCTATTTGCAAACTTAATTTTTAGAACACTTTCTCTTTTTAAGGTGGACAGTTTTCAATTCAGTTGGACTTTTCTCCTTTGTAAAATTTTTCCCAGAACATAAATACAAAACAACGATATCTTTTGCTCTCACCTCCATTTAATTCCCCACTTGTATTCCCAAAAGCAAGATTTGACTTGATGAAATTATTTGCAAGCCCCCAAAGAGAAGGAAAATACTAGTTAGGCTCAAGGTAGATAAAATTAAGGAAGGTCAACAAGGAAACAAGATTCCCTGGAGAAAGTCTAGGGGACCTGGAATACTCGTCTCTGCTCATGGAGACATTTAGAAACCCTCGGGGAGCGGGGTGAGAGCTCTGTGGTACCATACTGGGAACCTGGACCCATCTGGATTTTCACATATCCAAAACACTTCAGTTCCCAAGCCACCCAAATGTGTGAGCTCTCACTGAATTTCTGCTTCATTACTCTTTGAAATGAAATAAGGACACAGCTGTACCTCAATTTAAATCAGTGATTGCTCTTCACTCTGATTCTCTATGGTGCCTACAATCGAAGACAATCAAGCTGTTCTTCACAGAATGAATCCTTGATGCTTTTCTAAGACTATGTCTACATTAGATTAAAAGTTAAACATTCAGTCAAATAATCACATTGGGGATGGTTAACGGTTGTTGTTGCTAGCTTTAATTCACCTTTCAAATAAATGTTTTGATGGATTACTCAAGTGACCTTTTCAAGTGACTGTTCTATAATTTGTGTTGGATAATCCCTGGGTGTCGTGCAAATAGTCAGAATCAGCCTGACATTTTGCAATTCTCTGATGAAAGACAAGCAATGAGCTGTTGTTACCAGACCATAGGACCAGCTGCTGGAAGAGTTAGCAATAAAATCCAGGTA